GGGGAGGAAAGAGCTGTTTCTTGCTTCCCGGCTCCAATGGCTATCTCCATTGTCAGAACCAGTGGGTTGAGCACACAGGTATAAGCCTCTGTGCTTTACTTCTGTGGCTATCATAGGCAGGCCCTACCTCTTGCTGGCCTGATGCCAGGGCAGTGACTACTGGTTTGCAAGCAGTGCCAGCAGGGCAGGAGGAAGGTTCAGGAGGCTGCGTATCACAGTGGGGGTTGCAGATCTGAGTAGCCAGCTGGGGGGATGGAGCACCTGAAGCTCCTGAAAGTTCCCAACCTGCTGGGCAGAGTTTGCCGATCCAACCTTGTCCACCTATCCCTTCTCCCGCCCAGCAACCTCCATGAAAACCCTGCCCCTTCGGCAGCCCTCTTGTTGCTAGGAAGCTTCTCAAACCTCCCGCCTTTCCTTTGTCCCAGAGCAATAGGTTGTGGATCCCTGTCCTCCACAAATGGCTGGAATGTCTATCTCTCCAGGTATTTTGCCTGTCTTAGCTTTCCAACGCCACTAATCTCCAGAGCACCATGCAATGTAGGTTTGTGCTCCCAAAGCAGGTCTCCAGGGCTGTGTGTTCAGCAGTCCTAGGCTTCCACCCCCTCCCTGCTGTGTTTCTCTTCCTCTTACCATTGAGCTGGGGTTGGGGAAGTGCTTGGGTCCCGCCGGATCAAGGCTTTGGTATGTTACTGTGTTTTGTGAGATCTGCTCTGTTCTCCAGGTGTATGCAGTCTGGCACAGCCTTCTTTCCTGTTGCTCTTTTAGGATTAGTTGTATTAACTATATTTTCATGTTATATGTGGTTTTGGGAGGAGTTTTCTGTCTCACCTCTCACTCTGCTATCTTGAATCCGAATACCCCCTTTTATGTTTTATGTAAAGTATTTCTTAAAGTGTATTTCATAAATGTGCTGTATGGTAATATTTGTAATATGTAATACACAATTTGCAATATGGTAACATTCCTGCTTTATGGTAATATTTTTTATGCAACAAAAATGATTTAGTGGTTAAGTGTGGAAAAATCAGGTTAAAATTGCCAAAGGTTTTTACTCTAAAACTTCTAAATCTTCAAGCATATACTGTATCACCACCTTGACAAATACAGTATATAGTATTTGTCAAAGTTATTTGTAACTTTTACCACAGAACACTGTTTTAAAGAAGCATTTTGTAGATGTTCTACTGTAAAGAACATACTTTGGGGGGAATGCTTTTAAAAAATTAAGTTCATACATATAGTCTGTGTTGTTACAGTTGTTGAATTTAGGCAGCTCTAACAATTTAATTATTAAAATAATTTAATAATACTTTAGAACTTTAATAAAGTTCTAAAATAATTAACAAATATTGAGTCAGTCTGTAGGGTTAGATGCTTTAAGGGTTACTATGAAGATTCCTGTCCTAGAGTCAAACAGAGGGACCAAGGTATAGGCAGACATAGAAATTCAAAGTTAAATAATGGTAGATGTGAAAAAACATCATGCTACAAAAGTAGAGCAGTACTGCTGATAAGCATTCTTAGAGATTGTCCAATTGCATACCTGCAAAGAGCTTGTGTTTTGTGCCAATAAATGCAAGCGTGAAGTCAGGATAATGACAAGTACTATGAAGAATAGAGCAGATGAAGAGAATAGAGTGTCAAGGGCCAGGCTAGGAGAGAAGGGGAGTGTTATTTTGATTGAATGTTCAAGGAAGGCATGTTTGATGAAGTAACATCCAAGCAGAGACCTCAGGGAAGTCAGAGAACAGCCATGCCCTGGTCTGGAACTCTCTTCAGAAGACTGAGCTTACAGTGCCTAAGGAACAAGCTGGAAGGCCAGTTTGGCCAGAGCAAAATGAGAGAAATGTCAAATGGGAAAAGATCAGGTTGGAAAGGTGTGAAGCCTTACAAGTATACTGAGGATGTTGGGAACTATTTGGGTTTTCTTTTAGGAAGCTCTTGATCTTGTTTGTATCTTTCACTTTTTATTATGGAAAATTTCTAGCATATACAAAGGTATAGAGAGCATCCAATACTGAATCTCTAATATCTGTTATTGAACTTCAACAATCATAAACCCTTGGACGATCTTGATTCATCTGTACCTCAACCTATTCCACACTCTCTACCCCTGCATCTGGATTATTTTGAAGTTGATCCCAGACATCATTTCATGTCTTCCATAAATATTTCAATTTGTGTCTCTCAAAAGTTAATGATTATAAGTATATAAAGAGCTCATACACCTCAACAAACAAAAAGCGAATAATCCAATTAAAAAGTGGGCAGAGGAGCTGAACAGACAGTTCTCCAAAGAAGAAATTCAGATGGCCAACAGACAAATGAAAAGATGCTCCATATCGCTAGTCATCAGAGAAATGCAAATTAAAACCACAGTGAGATATCACCTCACACCAGTAAGGATCGCCACCATCCAAAAGACAAACAGCAACAAATGTTGGCGAGGTTGTGGAGAAAGGGGAATTCTCTACACTGCTGGTGGGAATGTAAATTAGTTCAACCATTGTCGAAAGCAGTATGGAGGTTCCTCAAAAAGCTCAAAATAGACATACCATTTGACCCAGGAATCCCACTTCTAGTAATTTACCCTAAGAATGCAGCAGCCCAGTTTGAAAAATACAGATGTACCCCTATGTTTATCGCAGCACTATTTACAATAGTCAAGAAATGGAAGCAACCTAAGTGTCCATCAGTAGATGAATGGATAAAGAAGATGTGGTACATATACACAATGGAATATTATTCAGCCATAAGAAGAAAAAAATCCTACCATTTGCAACACCATGGATGGAGCTAGAGTGTATTATGCTCAGTGAAATAAGCCAGGCAGAGAAAGACAAGTACCAAATGATTTCACTCATACGTGGAATATAAGAACAAAGGAAAAACTGAAGGAACAAAACAGCAGCAGACTCACAGAACCCAAGAATGGACTAACAGTTGCCAAAGGGAAAGGGACTGGGGAGGATGGGTGGGAAGGGAGGGAGAAGGGGGCCTTACGATTAGCATGTATAATGTGGGGGGGCCACTGGGAGGGCTGTGCAACACAGAGAAAACAAGTAGTGATTCTACAGCATTTTACTATGCTGATGAACAGTGACTAATTGGGTATGTGGGGGGGACTTGATGAAGGGGGGAGTCTAGTAAACATAATGTTCCTCAAAAAAAAATTAATGATTACAACGTTATCACATCAAAAAAATTTGGTGATATCGTAATATCATCAAATATCTAAAAAGTATTCAAATTTTCTCCATTGTCTCAAATGTTGTTTTTTTTATTTGTTTTCTTCTATATTGTTTTATTGTGCTTTACAGCTTACTTATTTGACCCAGGCTTTTAAATTTCTTACGTGTCTTTTAATCTATAGGTTTCTTTTCTACCTCTCTTGCATTTGTTCCCTTACAAATTGGAAAGACCAAGATGTGTGCACTGTTGTTTCCCACAGTTTGGATTGGGCTGATTCAATCCCTTTGGTTTTTTTAGGTTTTTTTTATTTTTTAATTTTTTGATATCATTAATGTATAATTACTTGAATAACATAATGGTTACTAGACTCCCCCTATTATCAAGTCCCCACCACATACCCCATTACAGTCACTGTCCATCAGTGTAGTAAGATGCTATAGAATCATTACTTGTCTTCTCTATGCTATGCTGCCTTTCCCATGCCCCCATCCCCGCTACATTATGTGTGCTAATTTTAATGACCCGGTTTCTCCTTTATCCCTCACTTCCCACCCATCTTACCCAATCCCTTTCCCTTTGGTAACTGTTAGTTGATTCTTGGGTTCTGTGAGTCTGCTGCTGTTTTGTTCCTTCAGTTTTTCCTTTGTTCTTATACTCCACACATGAGTGAAACCGTTTGATACTTGTCTTTTTCCACCTGGCTTATTTCACTGAGCATAATACCCTCTAGCTCCATCCATGTTGTTGCAAATGGTAGGATTTGTATTTTTTTGTGGCTGAATAATATTCCATTGTGTATATGTACCACATGTTCTTTATCCATTCATTTACTGATGGACACTTAGGTTGCTTCCATTTCTTGGCTATTGTAAATAGTGCTGCGATAAACATAGGGCTGCATATGTCTTTTTCAAACTGGGCTCCTGTATTCTTAGAGTAAATTCCTAGGAGTGGTAAATCCCTTTGTTTTTGTGATGTTCTTTTTCCTTTAACATTTTCTGGTGTTTACTATATTTCTCAAAAATTGGTATTAGATAGAGGCTTGATGAGATTTCAGTTCAGTTTTTTTGGCAAGAATCCTTTATAGGTGGTGTTATTTGCTTGTATCAGGAGAAATGTTTTATCTCTTCTTATGATGTAAGTGGCCCTTGATCATTCTCTCAGCCCTTTAATTCATTAGCAGATAATGGCAAAATTCTGGTATTTTATTCCATCATTCCTTTATTTGTTTCCTGGAACACTTGCTTAAAAGACAAGCTTCCTTCCCATCACCAACTATTTAGTTATCCTGAGGTGTAGTTTGTAGAAAGACAGTGTGACTCTTTCCTTTTATTAAGTGATTTTAAAATAATGATTTCATCCCTGACATCTTCTGAAAGTGACCAAGAGTATTTTATTTTAATATAGTATGAATTCACAGATTATAATATTTTTATGTGTTTCTATCCATTATCACTGTTAATCTTTTTGGTGTTCATGTAGTCGTGGCTTGGGCCAGCTTCCTCACACTGGCTCTGAGTTCTTTTACTGTGGTGTAGTCGTCACTAATAGTTTCTCTGCTTTCTGATATGACAAGATGACTAAGCTCATCATATCCATTTTCTTTCCCAGACCTGGAATCAGCCAGTTTTGAGAGGAATTCTGATTTATTTCAGTGAGAAGTTATATTTAGCACTCATATTAATTGGTATACCACTAAAAGTATCAAGGAATCATTTTATGTATAGTTTTGAAAATTTTTGAAGTAATGAAACTGTGTCATACTCTAATGTTCATTTTTAAATTACAGAGTTTCTGTTCTTTAACAGGATTGGTGAGCGTGCTATTCTCCTGGGAGGACTCATCGTTGTATGGGTTGGCTTCTTTATCTTGTTACCTTGGGGAAATCAATTCCCCAAAATACAGTGGGAAGGTATAGCCATATATAATTCTATCATGTTAGCTCCTGTTACTCATGTAAAATCAACAAATAATGCACTGTACTCATTTTGTTTTTACAGCTTTGCATAATAATTCAATCCCTAATACCACATTTGGGGAAATTATTATTACTCTCTGGAAGTCTCCACCAGACGATCACAATGAAGGACCAACTGGTTGCCCAACTGAACAGGCCTGGTGTCTCTACACCCCCATGGTCCATCTGGCCCAGTTCCTCACATCAGCTGTGCTCATTGGAATAGGTTATCCGTCCTGTAATGTTATTTCCTATACGTTATATTCAAAAATTCTGGGTCCAAAACCTCAGGTGAGTCAGTTACCCTGACGTTGCAATTATGTGAAGTATAATTGTAAGCACTCACATTTTTTGCTGCCATTCTCATACTGATTTGAGGGATTTTTGTCATGTCATCATTTAAAATTTTAAAAATCCCATAGCTTTTGTAAAAAGTACTTATAAGATTTATATGCTGAAATTTAACAAAAATACTATAAGTTAAAACTTAAAGGTGTCTTGAACTAAGAGATTATGAGGTCAACATCATTTTCATAAGAAACAAATTTGAAGCATAAATTTCTGAAACTCATTCTTAAACTAGGTAACAGGAAACCAAAACTGATAGGTAAATTTGGATGTAGCCTTAATTTCATCTGGCCCTAGGGACAATTACTAAGTGATGAAAACATAGCGGTCTTAAAAGTGTACAGAAACTATGTATATTTTAAAATTAGTTTCTATTATAAGAATTTCCATATTCATTATATAAAAATTAGGAAAAGCATAGAAGCAAAATGGAGAAAAATATCAAAGAGACAATTACTACTAACATTTCATTGAAATGAGAGTTTCATTTCCAGTGTACATCTAAGTGTGTAGGTTTATGTGTTTAACACAAAAATTGGATTATATATTGATATTATTTTGTAATCTGATTTTTTTAAAAATATAACCATATGTTGTAGATATTCTCCCATGACATTTTTCTTTCAGAGAATTATTTTTAATAGAGGTACTGTACTCTGTTTTATATATGTACCATTATATATTCAGTCATTTTCTTATTCTACATTTAGGTTACTTTCAGGTTTTACTTCTGACTTTTTAGTAGCAATTGTTTAAATGCCACAAAATAAAAATAGTACCTTCCTCTTTAAAAACTTAACTGATAGTTTTACTGATTTTTAAGATAGAAATTAGTGTTTATTGAAATAAGGCAAAGAAAAAAATTTTCATGTATTTTAAAGCTGTAATAGTAGGCAAAACATTTGGGTAATTTCTGTTTTTTAACCCATTGTATTTTCAGATTTTCAAAATCAATAATAAAAGCATATGAATTATAAAACAATGCATGACAGTTGTAATAAAATTCAAATAATTTGAAATGTATATAGTAGGAAATGAAGGCTTCTTTTAACCTCACCACCCTAAAGCCTCTGTTTACTTCTCTTGTACCTACCCTTCAAGACATTCTTCTATGCCTATTCAAACATATCCACACACGTGCTTTCCTTAAAAAAGATGAAACAAATTACATTAAATTTCATGTACATAAAGTTTCTTCTTCATCTTGGATTTTTCTTTTTTTACTTAATATGCCATAGCTGTCATTCCATGGCAGTGCGTATAGATGTTACTCTCATCAGAAGATCTTACTCTGTATAAGAACTTATACTTTTAAGCAACTGCTTAGCATTCCATTCATTAAATATACCATAATTTGTTCATTTAATATGCAGTTGGTATCCAGATTGTTTTTAGTTGGGGATATTAAAGTGCTGCTGCACTGCACATGCTCGGGTGGACTTAACGGTTATAGTTTTGAGGATGGTAGTTGGAAGAGTGGCGTTGTGGAGGAGTGGACAGTGAGATAGTAGAGTCAGCCAAAGATGGCTCCAGATTTCTTGGACAAATTACTTGAATTTTCTGAGCTTCAACTTCCACATTTGTTCAGTGTGGGTAACACCAGTTGTAGAAATTTGTGAACACTGGAAAAAACATAAGTAAAGCCCCTAACACAGTGTTGGAAGATAACAAGTACAAAATAAATGTAAACTTTAAGAGGCAAATAAATTATATTGTTCCCAGGGCTTCCACAGACATTGTTTGTCCCTTTATACTACTTGTATTTTTTTCCTAAACTATATCAAATAAATTTATTATTAATTATTTCCTATATTTATAGAGAACTACTTTATATTTAACTTAAAAAGGAGAGATGGAGAAGTAAATCTTGTGAGGTTGCTGTCCTTTTATAATAGTAGCATTATCTTTGTTTTTTAAAATCACTCAACTTGACTGTCAATCTGCTCTCGTCTCCCATCCCACAGGGCGTGTACATGGGCTGGCTAACAGCTTCTGGAAGTGCAGCACGGATTCTTGGACCTGTGTTCATCAGCCAAGCATACACTTCCTGGGGCCCACGATGGGCATTCAGCCTTGTGTGTGGAATAGTGGTGCTTGCCATCATACTCCTGGGAGCGGCTTACAAAAGATTGGTCGCTTTTTCTGTAAGGCATGGAAGAATTCAAGAGTGACATCACTAAGACCGTGATGGAAAGTGCTTGCTATGTGCAACCTCCTCTTCTAAGGCTCTGCTTGATCATTGCTATGAGTCAGTATTCAGAAGTCAGGCTGCAGATATTATATATTTTGAATAACAAGAACATGTATTGAATAACACAGGGAACTGTGTGTAATTGTGAATAGTAAGATAATATAAAACATTCTGGATTCCCATAATTTCCTTATCTCAAAAAACAAATATTCTTCACATAACACCATTTTTGGGCTTGCATGAACTCATGAGTGAATGGACAATGGTCTGTAAATGTGTAGTTATACTCAATTGAAATTGCAGAGGTGTTAAAATAATGAGAATATCTATACAGTGACTCATTAAGAGTTTTGTATAAATTACCTATAACAGAATGAAATTATAAAAAATTGTTTACCTAATAGTTTTGTTCAAAGGTACCTTTTAATTTATTATAAATTTCACTTTCTATTATTAACAAGTTTCCTTATGAAATAAAAATCATGATTCATTAAATTTTCCACTTAACTGTGCCTGCTCTTCCTTACCTTACTTTCTATAAGTCATTATTTTTATTACTACACCTTCTGTCTTGTTTTAGTTCAGGATCTTACTAACTCCAAAGTTAGTAAATGAATACTAATAGTGCTACTACTTGAACAATAAAGAGGATTAAGAGATCAAGATGGATTTTACTACCATTAGTAGGATTACTTTTTTCTTTCCATTGCTAATAAATAATACAGTTTTGAAACAAAAGCCAGGTGTTACTGTATACATATAATGAACAGCAAACTGTTTATTAAAATTATTGGCATTTTTTAACTCCCTCAAAATCTGGAGAAAAACTATCACTTAACTACTTAACTTTTCCCATTTCTCAGTAGTGGCAAGGAAAACTCAATAGTTTTCAATCTATGTCTGCATTATCTATTCAGAACTGCAGAATTTAAAATTTGGTTGGGCCATGACAGCCCCAGTCTAGTCAGCCTAAAATATATTTGAGACAAAATGACTTTATGTAGCATTTACTGAGTTACTTGTACTTAGCTAAATCATACTCTGTGTATGATTTCTACCTCTACATAAGTTGAATGCTGGTTAAAGGCACTAACTAGTACAGAACCATGCATATGGATAATCAATATTACAAAAACATGTAAAAATATGTCTAAGTACTTTTTCAAATGCTTCCTGTTCTTTGTTATACTTTAAAATCTGAGACTAAACAAGTAAACACTACAATATACACTTTATAGTAAGTTTGCTGTACTTTTTTTTTTTTTTTTGTCTTGAACAGGAGTAACTTATTTTTTTCTGGAGACCAGAAGTCTGAGATCAAGGTGCTAGGAAGGTTGGTTTCTTTAGAGGCCTCTCCTTGGCTTGTGGATGGATACCTGCTCCCTGTGCCTTCTGTTTGTTTATTTCCAGGTTTCTTGATACATTGACATATAACATTCTGTAAGTTGAAGGTGTACAGCATATTGACTTGGTACACTTTATATATTGCAAAATGATCACCACCATAGCATTAGCTAACAACTCCATAACTTAACACTATTTTCTTTTCTGTGGTGAGAAGATTTAAGATCTACTCTCTTAGCAACTTTCAAGTATACAAATACAGTATAATCACCATGCTATACAATAGATCCCCAGAATTTTTTCATCTTATAAATACTCCCTTTCTCCACATCCTCACCAACACTTGTTATCTCTTATCTTTTTGATGATAGCCATTCTAACAGGTGTGAGATGTTATCTCACTGTAGTTTTGATTTGCATTTCCTTGTGGTTTTGTGATGTGGAGCACCTTTTCAGGTAACTGTTGGCCATTTATATGCCTTTGGGAATGTCTGTTCAGATCTTCTGCCCATTTTTAGTGAGACTGCTTTTTTTTTCTTTTTTCTTATTTACTATTGAAGTTTGTTGTACTTCTAACTTCTTCAGTTATAACACAAGGCTCAAACTGAGATAAATCATCCTGTGATTAAATTTTAGAGATTGTTTTCACTCTTCACCTCCCCTAGCAAGACTGCTTCAGTTAGATATATCAGAGCTACATCCAGGTTTCTGGCCCTTTGGTCGAGTCCTAGCATCCCTCTTCCCCAATGCTCTGCAGTTCCTTCCTGTCTTACGTTTTTTTTGGGTAATGTACAAAGAGTAAACTCCACCTTTGGTTCAGATAGTGTGCATTATGGAAATAGCAACAATAACAATGATGAAAATGATAATAGCAAACATTTATGGAGTTTTTTTCATATTCCTGGTAATATGTAATGTATAGTTTAAATCTCACAGATGTCATATAGAGTGAAGGTTATTATGATTCCCATTGTACAGATGGGACAGAGAAGTTCTGGTACTTTTCTGTAAGTAACAGTCTATCTTCAGAGTACACATCCTTAACCACCATATTTTTCGTAGTGGGGAAAATAGCCCAGAAAGCTACAGGAGTAGTCAATTAATTGCTAATTGTAGGGTAAATTAAGTTACCTATACCAGTGATTCCTATTAGCATAAATATTTGAGAAACAATTTGAAGCCCACTGATTGGGGCTTTTATCTTAGCATTATTAGCAAGACTGTCCCCATACAAGAATCTGACAGAATTTTCACAAAGACTTGTAATACTGAATAAAATTCAGATGAACTATAATCTTGCAAAAATGGCTGCCAGCTTCCTTTTCTGAGGGTCATTTCTGGAGAATTATCCCAATACACATCTTGGCACAGTTGAAGGAAGTAGCATGGGGTTGAGGAAAGGATAGGAAGGTAAAATTTGACCAAAAAAATCACCTAGTTAAGTTCTTGAATTGGACAAGTTGAGTATAAAGTGAAAAAGATGATGGACCTTAAGGTACCACTAAAATACCACTAAAATCAGTGTCTTTTTAAGAAAAGGTTTTTTGAAAGACCTAAATTCAAACCTGATAGGAAAAAGTGATTTTCATATTTAAAGGGATTTATAATGTCACAAAACATCTCCACGCTACTTGGCTAAGCTTGGCTACATTTAAAATACCAGTTCTCTTGCATAAAGTTAAATTTACATGTAAATTTTATAGAGAGGATAAGCTATTTATGTGCATCTGCTCAAGAATAGATTAACTTATTTTGAAGGGAAATTTTAGGTACATTTTTACTATTGCAGACTTATTTGTAATTTAATGTAGTTAACATTGTGAATGTACATTTTCTAATAGGATTGTTATGTGTATATATGTTATACCTTAAAACTTTATTCATTAATATTTTTCAGTACACATTCATGGGTTTCCCACTAAATGCCAATCACAATGCCATTGTTGGGAATAGAGCAGTGAGCAAAATACATAGGGCCCCTCCCCTCATGGGACTTCCTTATGTGGGGAAGTTGGGGTTCCTATGGCCAGGATCCTCACTGAACTTAAGCCACATGATGATGTAACTGGCCTGTTGCTGGGCTATCGCTTCCACACCTTTAGGCAATGAGCTATTATTGCGCTATATAGAAAGCTTGACCCAGTGCTCTGGGCGGAGGCAGAGACACTAGTGCTCGAACTACCTACCACTGGGAGAACAAGCCGGGTAATAAACCCTTTCAGCCCAAGAACATTCTACTGTCACTTCTTTGGTCACACTGAAACCATAATGAACTTGCCCAGGGCTGAAACCCATTGGCAAGACAATTGGTGAAGCTGGCAGGGTTCATTGTTGATCAAGGAAAAACACAGGCTTCCCTTATGGGAGGGGTGCTTCAGCAGGCTGCCCCTGTGAATGGGGAGACAATGGATTGTTCCCCAGTGGGTATGTGGTCTGAGGTGGCTTGCCTCCTAGAGGACTGGGCCTTACCCCAGGACTGGAGGCAAGTGGAGGTGATACCTGAGGCAGTAGGGATAGCCCTTGGTATATAGTAAGTAGACCTTTTGAGAGACAGAGTGCCCGTGAGGCAGCAGGGACTGTGGGTTGGCTGCTTCTCACAGTATTAAAAAAGTCTACAGAAGAGGCAGTCATGCTCCTGAAAAAGACCCAACATATGGAGGCATGAGAATGCAAGCTGCAAACTTCTGTGGATATTCTGAAGAAGGAAATGGCATTGATGCGAGAGGAGGCTGCATGAGAACACTGGCAACAAGGTGATATTGAAGAGGTAGAAGATTCCTTACAGAATGAGACAGCAGTGCTGCCACGTACTCTGAAGGAGGAAAAGGCCACAAAGGAAAAAGACGAATTCCTGAGGGAAGCACAGGTGGAGGTGAAAAGAGAACACCAGCTGCGAAGCATTGAGGTGAAGGTAAGAGAGCTGCTGAAGACTGAGCTAGCATTGCTGCGAGGCATGGCAGAAAAGGTAAAGGTTGTAGCAGAGGAGGCACTCAGGGGAGGGGATAGAAAGGTGCCATCAGCCCCAGAAATGGAGGAGCTGGGGTGGTGTCGGAGGCACTGACCCCTCCTGTATTGAAAGCATTCCCAGTGGTTGTCAAGAAAATAAAGACCCAGAAGCTGAGAGTTCCTCAAGAAGAGGAACAGCTCCCTCCCTCAGTCATGGAGCCCACCCCTATGCTCCACCCCTATACTCAGGCTGAGCTGGTGGATTTGGGCTCCCGGTTTTGGCAGAAGCTCTTGGAGTCAATATCAGCTTGGCTCCTGTGTCTGTGGGACTTAGGGGTGGATGGAATTGTTCTATTGGGATCAGATATGGGAAAGGTGTCTTCCCTGACAGTTCAGCCTGCCTTAAGGCAGTGGTTACAAAGTGCACAACAGACACCAGGGAATCACTCCCTCCTCGATTGGCTTATGGCTGCACTTTGTGCTGTGTGGCCCAGTCAGAGTAACCTACCATTCTCCCTTGCTAAATAGCAGACGTATACTGAGCTCCAACAGGTGTTAGAAGAGCTAGGCATAAGAAATGCCATCTATAGTCCAGAGAAAAATGGTGCGGTTGAAGAGATTTTCACTACTGAGATGAGAAATATTGTGCTTCAAATGGCTCCCACATCCCTCTTTGGGTCTCTAGTGGCCATTGTTTCCCCTCACTTAGGGCATGTACAGCAAGATGACATGTACAGTAGCCAACTTAGGAGAGGCTGAAGCAATGAGAACATGGAAATAAATAAGGTCTGCTACTCACAAGAAGAATTTAAAGGTCCTCATGAAGGTTACGAGGACACAGATGTGGGTTGATTTAATATGGGCAGGAACAGGTGGGAGGAAATTAGACGGGAACCCAAATAGGATCTTACTAGAGCTCTGGCAACAACAGAAACCAGAGCAGCAATTCCAGCCATTAAGACCAAAGAGGCAGAGGTCAGAGACAGAGCCATAAGCCCAGCCTGTGTTTTTGCAAGACTTCCTGCTGGACAGCAAGCCAACCTCACTTGAGCCCACACAAGAAGATGATTGGGGAACACAGTTCGACTGAGGGGAAGGTTGAGGTGCCTGCCCTGAGGGACCAGGGGGGACTAAAGGCCATGCAGGCTTTGAGAGTGATAGACCCACTGAGGCCCTGTGAGCTGGATGTTCACGTGACTGCAGAT